ATGGCCGAGTGACTAACGCTCTGGCTCACTGTGCCACAGTTTTCAGGGTTCGAGTTCCTGCGGGGCCAAGTATGTTTGTAGTGGTTCAAAATCCACTTTAAACCGTAGGTCCCGATCTAATATGGCTGGTGAACACTAAGCGTAAGGCTGTCAACCCTACCCCGTAAAAAGAAAGCATTCCCTGTTTGGACTGTAGTGCAGGGTAGGTAGTTAGTTAGGTATAGTGGAATATGGTGTTGGTTGATGTAGCAACTTTGCACAAATTGAATGATGGATTCCGTATTAATTTTTTCGGGATCCGTGACAAGGCCCCCTAGATGATTAGTGCTCTGGTTCTTGGTGCCACAGATTTCGTTATCGAGTCCTGGCGGTGCCGTGGGTGTTTGTAGTAGTTCGGAATCCACTTTAAGCCCTAGATTCTGGTCTAATATGATTGTAGAGCGTAGAGCGTAGGGCGGATATTCCTACCCTGTGAAAAGAAAACATCTCCTGTCTCGAAATCTGCCAGTAGGTAGGTGTCCTTGGCTCACCATGGGGTTGTTGCGGCAATGAAGATGAAGAAGATAAAACAGACCACCAGATAACAGATAAGAAGACACCTTAAAACAGTTTTTAAAATAGATCGTGTATAAAGTCGATACAATGCAGTTAGCATTATAATATAAATGTAAAATATCTTCTAAGAAATGAATGTAACATTCATATTAATCATTAAGATTGATATATATCATTATTCAATACTTCAAAATTTCTGTAGTGTACCAATAATAACAAAATTTATTTTCTCTTTTAGGTGAGTACTGAAATTCTCTTATTGAAATACTTGGTAAAGTGGTTTTGGTAAGTTACTTAAAAATTAACTAAAAGCTTAAATCAATTATTATTTTTTATTTTGGGAGCTTTATATCTTAATATATTAAGGTTATATTTATTTTATGTAATAGATCCTTGCTTCATATTTTCTAGAAGGCTTAATGAATGTATTATACATATAAAATATTATCTATGAAAAATTTAATTCGCCACAATTTCTTTAGTTTTAAAATTGTTATATCGTTAAAAAGTTACGAGTCCAAATTCAAGTCATTTTTTCCTTCAATTTTTGTCTGTGTGATTAATTATACATATTAATTAAATATATTATACACATGATACATATGAATCACATAATATTAATTAATATTAATTTTCATATTGAATCACATTAATATTCATGCATTTAAATATCTGATCAACCAGACACGTGGCTCAGTGGCAACGTGCTCACCTGGTGAGCATTAGGGCTGAGTTCAGTCCGCTGGCGGCTTTGTTGTAGACACTGCTTTAAAAAACAAGGAGACTCGATGGCGTTTGTTATGTTCAACCTCTTGTCTCGTGAGTCGGACTACCTGATGGAAGTTCTCCGGGGTTTCTCCCATACGATACTCAAATGCGGGTAGTTTCCCTTAGAAATTCTCCCGGAAAGTACTGACCTCCTTTTTCAGCGACACAGAGCGAGACTTCTACCTACCGGTGCCCTATCACAACAGAAGCTGCCCCCTCTTCTCCATCCATGAGTAGATTTCTCATGGGATGACCGTCCACCACTGCAGGACGCTGAAGATTAGACACGAGAACAACAGAATTATTCTTAATTTGAAGAAAAATAAGGTAATATAGTCAATAATAATAGGAATTTGTAAAGTCACTAATATTACCTATTATGAGTTAAATTACAAAATATCAATTTTTAAAAGTTTGATATTTTGTTTCAAATTAATAGTTAGTCGAGAATACCTGGTGGGAGTTTTCCGGGTTTCCTCTCACGCGATACGCAAATGCTGGATAGTCCCCCTTAAAAGTCTCCCGGAAGGCACTGCTCTCCTTCTTCAGCGACACGGAATCTTGTCACACTTCTACCTACGGGTGCTCCATCCCAAATGAGGCTGCCCCCCCCTCTTCCCTCCTTCCATGAGACCACACGGGTTCATGGACTTGGTCTAGATGTTGCTGTCTACTAAATGGGATAACAAACAACAACAAATTTCTGATCAACATATATTGATCTACTTAACTTGATTTATTTATTTGAGCTGTAGACAATCAAGAAGCTTTTGCAGCAACAAATTAAATGGGTTTTTTTTCCCTAAGCATAGGAAAAAAAAAAAACAAACTGGCACTCGATTGTAAAGGATATTTTGAATGACAAGCATGATTAATCTGTTATTAATAATCCTTATACTCTATCGTGTGTGTGATAAGTTTTGATTGTTACTTCACTTCGATTAGATACGAAGAATGGAGTTGCCACTAAAAAAAACAAAAAACTGTCTTAACGATTTGATAATTGGGAAAATGTCCGGAAAGGGGCGTGGCCCAGCGAGATCACGTGACACCCCATAATCCAATAATTAATGTCTGCGGCTCGTAAAATGGAATAGTGTTCCAATTTTGAAAGATTTGATATTTAAATTGTGGTTTTCTGTCCTCCGAACTACAATCGGGCTGGCTTTGTGCATTTTTTTTTTTTTGTGTGTGTGTTTCTCAATGGTGCACGTGCATGGATTTCGAATTTTTAGCCTGACCACCCTGTAAAATTGGGCTACGGACGAACCAGTTTTTGAATACATATATATATTTTTTATTATTATTATTAATTTTCTCTCTAATCAATGTTATGAAGTTGTCGTCGATTTACATAACATGCAAATACATCGTATTCACGACAAAAAATAAGTCTTCTATGAATACCTAATTAATCACCCTGGACAATTGCTTGAAAATGTTAAATTATATAGCGGCTTATGAATATTTCATGGAAAAATGAAAAATATGTGTTAAAAGTCCTGTTGCTTTTGATTGAATAGAAGAATTTTTTTTTTTCTAAATCATATTTTATTTTAATTGGATAAAATCTAAATAATTCATTTACTTTGAGAGGGAACTTCATTTCATGTTGACAATGATTAGAACAAAATAAATTAAAAGTTAATTTGTTTTTATGACTGAGTAATGATTTTTATGATGATTTTTATGGCCTTGCTCAACCGAGTAATATTTTACATTTGGATGCATCTTTACATTTTCTGCTTTTAAATGACACGCTAATAAATAATTTGTTGTTGAAGTATTAATATTAATTTCTGAACTGATGCTTAACAAATTAATATCCTAAATTTTGGATAACAATTTAGTGGGTACCTCTGACTCATCATCAGCTTTGTTTATAAGCAATCAATATTATAAGATATATATAGTCTTTAAGGATAGTCTATGCTACCAAAGCAGTCTCTTTATAGTATACAAGATACAGGGTTATTTCACAATTAGCCGAACATATCTACCATTGAATTGAATACCTTGGTTGCCCCTTAACAGTCGAGTGGTTGAGAATGAATCAAATTTTTTTATAAAATCAGTTGTATTGCCAAATTGTCGTTTAATAATTCTATTTCTTACCACGACTAATTGGAAATATCTTTGATTTCTGAAAATAACATGCTTTATAATAGCCCTTTAATAAAACTACTGTTACTTTAATAAAACGCTGTGGCCATTGGTACAACAGGCTTCAGATCCGAATCCTGATGGTAATCATGGATGTTTGTTGGTGGTTCGGAATCCAACTTAAACAATAGTTTCCGGTCTAATTAGACTAAAGTGTGCCCAAAATGATCTTAGAGTGACAAACCAAACCTATCTTGTCATACATTATATATATATATATATATATATATATATATATATAATGTATGACAAGATAGGTTTGGTTTGTCAAAAACACGTACAAGTACAAAACACGACTATTTTGCAGGCCAGAAGCTGCTATCATTATTCGTTACGTGCAAATTATATAACAAACTCATCATATCATTCGCAATACAAAAAATTCTGAAATTCGAAGTATGCATGAACTATAGCAACGAAACTGAAAATCATTTAATAAACATAATAATCAAAAAATTGAAAGGCAAGATTGCATTGGGAGACCAATAAAGAGTACAAAAATTTGTACAAAACATACAATGACGCATTTCTCTTAGTGATAGCCAACAATATTTCTGTGTTTCGCATTATTTTTTATAGTTATTTAATCAATTTATGCTAGGAAAAAAATAAATCTCTGCCTTTAAATTTATTGAAGATCCTTATATATTTTGAGATCTCCATATATTTCATCCATTTACTTCACATAAAACACCTTGTAAAGTACACTTTCTTGAGAGAATCCATTTCACGAGCTCCTTAAATCAGAGAGCAGCTACAGGAGAACTCCCGCAGTTTTACTTTGTGAAGCCGGCAAGGGGCCACCTCTAATGAGTTTTCTAATTTCTCTTTTTCTGAAACACCTGTTTGTTTTTGAATTAATGATCTCGGAAAGGCATTCGTTTTCTTCGATTCGAATCTTGTGATCCCGGAAAAAAAGACACTACTTTGTTCTTTCAGACATTTAGTAGTAAGGGTTTTTGTAGAGGTTTAGAATGTGAATCACTCTAAAGAACGGATAGTCTGTTGGTCGATCACTCATGCTTCAGGTTCATTGATTGATGGTAATTAAAAAGAGGTCTTTGTTCTCGAATATCTACAGTTCTTTAGCCTTTTTTTTTTTTTTTTTTCTGTAGATTCCAAAAGAATGAACAATTATGAAGAATTTAAAGTTTGTGGTAGTAATTAAACATTTTTTAGTTTCAATGATAATCTTCTTCGTCAGCACTCTGTTACAGGCTAAGGCAATCTCCATGAACTTCCTTTCATCTACTACTTCCATCTTCCTAGAGCTGAATTCCTTCTTTACAGTTTGGGAATGATGTGGGTGAGAAGAAGTCTGATTGGGCTCTGTGACGCTCTAGGGTCATATGAGACAGGGACAGCTTGAACCACAACATTCATAGCACCACCAGGATTCGAACCGAAACCGGTGATACCGAGCACCACGCGGTCATCAAACCCCAGTTTAACAATTACCTGTGGTACCGAGTGCCAGAGCACTAGCCACTCTGGCATCAAGCCCCCTAAACAAATTCCGACATCGGGAATCGAACCCGTGTCTCTTGGGTGAGAGCCAAGTATCCTGACCACTAGAGCATGCTGGACGTTCTTCTTCCATCTGACTCTGTCCGGGGCAATGGACAGCCATCTGTTGACTCCTAGATCCTTTAGATATTTCGATTGAATCAACTCATCTGGTGTTGAGGCATTCCTCTTCTTCGGGTGTCTTCATTTGTTGAAAAAGTAACTTTTTTTTAGTTGGATTTGAATCGTTATATCTAAAAATGTGTCCCAACCATCTAATACGGTTTGCTTTTATAACTTTTACTATATCAGGTTCTTTGAATCTGTTCGTGGTTCGTTCATGGTTATATTGTATTCTGTAGACATCATTTTGCCTCACAGCACCACGCATTTTTCGAAGAATTTTTTTTTTTTTTTTTAAATGAACAGCCTATCTTTTTCAGATTTATTTAATGGCCAGTACTCGCTGCTTACAAAACGATTAGTCTGATTAAGGTCTTGTATAAGTTAATTTTTTTTTTTAACATTAATAAGTTTTGATTTGAATTGGTTTCTTTGCCCATAAAAATATTTATTTGCTATAAAAATCCTATTATTTAATTCAAGTTTTACGTCGTTATCATTATTAATGATAGTTTCAAAGTTTTTAAATTGTTGCACACACGCAAAGGTAAAATTATTGATTTTTAAACGAGATAGATCATAAATTGTCTTAGTTTTTCTCTTGATTAACAGTGAGACCAAATTTTTCTTGCAGAAGCTTCAAGGAATATAAAAGCATTAACAACTAATTGTTTTGTTCTAGCAATAATATCAATATCATTGGCAAAAGCCTTAATAATTGTATGGATCTGTTCAAAAAAATCTCTGATATTTAAATTAGAATCTCTAACAGGCTATTGATAATGTTGGAGATTATAAAAGAAAATACTTTGATCTCATGTAGTTAGTGCTTACAAACCCCGCTTTTTAGATCCTCAGAGTAAATAGCTCTGACGAAAGAATAGCTTGAGGAATCAATCGAACATGGCAAGGCACATGGCATCAATCAAATGTGGTTCTGCACTATTTGCTTTTAAATAATACATTATGACTGAAAAGCTCTTTGTTTAATAATTTAAAATTAAGTAAATTTAAACTTAAATAATATAATTAATTCGTTGAAATAAGCAAAATTACTTCGTTTAAACGGAAAATATGCTTCGTAATTTACCAAAAAATAAAAATCAGATCAAATATTCGATAAATGAATTTTGTGAGCATGCCTTTTGAGTCATACAACTACAAATGTTTAGCAATATTGCCAGTAAGTTAGATCTCGAAATTGAAAACAATTATTAACTCAAAATGCAGACATTTGATGAGAAATTTTGCTATGCAGTTTTTACGTTGAATCTCGAGCCACATCTAGCTATTATAATTTAAGAATGCAATAATAGATATTTTTAGCCAGTCAGTTAGCTGTTTGAAATAAGCGTAAATCAACTACAAATCTTTATGTTTAAATTAATCTTTAAAAAACTATTAGCAATGGTATGACTTCATATATATTTGTTTTAGTTTCAATACTTTTTCATGTGCAGATGTTTCTAAAAATCGCGCAGCACAAATTAATAAATAGTTCAACATGATTGTCGTCTTCATACCAGCTTGAATTTCCAAAATTTAATTTCTAAACTTTCAAACATTCAAAGATCAAGAAATTTCCAAATTTTTCTTAATCTAAAATTTCTATTATTTTTAAGTAATTTTAGATAATGTTGTCAATACTAATTCCTTGTAAAAGAAATTCAATTCAATTCTCTACATATTTTGGAATAGGTTTAGTAAGCCAACAAGTTTTTATTATTCATCTTATTTTTGAAAACTATCATGCCTTGGATCAAATATTTAAGTTAATCACATGTATTCTCAGCCAGATAAGTTATTAACTTTCTGGAATTGTTAAAATCCAGTAGGTTAATACCTACCCCAGTAAGTATGCCTACTACTAGTATCCAATTAAAAGTATTTAAAATTAGCCAATACAAAATGAGTTTATTATTATTTTTTTATTTCAAACATTATATTTGAGCATCAAAAGGAATAAAACTTTTTTTAGAAAAAATTAGCTTCAATATAAACATATACCTTTAACCAAGCATTTCATAAAATATTCTTTGCGATGAATAATCATTCTTCCAGAAAAAAAAAAAAAAAAAAAAAAGAGATACATTTTTCTACATGGAAAGTGATTGTAAATGTGAAAGAAAAACATGTTTGAACTTTTTTTTTATTATTATTATTCTCACTGCATAAATGATGGTAAAGTAACTTTGCTACATATTTTTCTGTTTGCACATCATAAAAAAAAGTCCTTCTAGAGGGGAAAAAGTAACACAAAAAGGTGTCCCTGGTCTGTCTGACTATAAACTCACTAGCCGCCGTAACACTCAGCATTCCTGTTCCAATGGCAACCAGTTCTTGACCTTTAACTATGAATTGTAGTTCTTATGACCTTGTCCAGAGCTGAACATTGATATTCACACCAGGGGTCGATGTAGTATGGTGGCTACTATTCCAAGTAGAGAGATTGATTCTCTTACCGTAAAGTATTAGAAATACGTCTCTGGATTTATGTTTGTTTCCTTACTATGTGGAATTTCTGAATCATAAATAGATGCTGAATTTCATTGAATATCGAAGGCATTCAGGAATTCATTCTTTTGATGTAACCATGATTCAATTCATAGATTGTCCTTGTATTCTATAATCTGGATTGGAGCATTGAATCTTTAAATAGGAATTCATGAGATGTGGCAGACATAATATGCTTCAAGTGTTAGATATCCATATTCCTTTTTCTGGTATTTTTTTAGTTAAATATTCGTGCTTGGGAAAAGAAGACTTTCAAAAGATGTGCATAAAAAAATGTGAATTTTAACAATTAAGTTTAATTTTCTTGTTTTCCTTATCATCGAGATCTGCAATCTTTTTTTTAATTCTATCTCCAATAATAATTTTAACCTATTAACGAACTGATGAATTAAACTATCATCTATTTTGTGATGAAGCTTATAAAAATAAAATAATTCAGTAAAAATTACAATAAAATGATACCATTAAAAATTTGAATTTGTTGTCACTTTATTTCAAAATAATATTAATATACTACTTGATCATTGAAAATTCATGAATTTGAAAATTGATGAAAATACTTTAAGTTTTCTTTTATAAAAATCGCTTAACAATTTAATTCTTTCTTATATGGCGACGTGATGGTCAATTGGCTAGCGCTCTGGCTTTTGGTACAGTAGGCTTTAGGTTCGAATCAATCTAATTAGCCTAAAGTGTGCAAAAAATGGTCGCAGAGCGATAAACCAAACAAACTTCTTTATTATATGATATTTTTTTAAATAAAATATAAATTGAATTCTGAATTTTACGAAATGAAAGTCTGAGGATTTCAATATAATATAATGACTATTAAATATTTGTTTTTGAAGAAATACTGATGAACAAAAATAATTTTAAATATTTGTATAATAGTTATACGAAATTAATGATGCTCATTTCTAATTCTATTATTATTAGCACTCTAAAGAACCATTTAAACTTAATTGTATGTATGATCTCACAAAAACACACATTAAGAAATTCTTTGAATTTTTAATAAATCCTGTTATTATTATTTTTAGCTCGAAGCTATACCAAATTCCTGAATCATTAGAAAATCCTGTTTTTCTAAAGAAATATTTTTTTTTTAAATCAAGATGCTTTACAAACAGTTGGACTAATAATAGGTTTACAGATGCACCTGTTTATGCTTAGAATTATTCAATTAAAATTTGAAATTTCGTTTTGTCGTCTACATTATAATTAAACATTACAAATTCATATTTATTAAAGTTAATTGTACCTATTTAAAAAAAAAAATTATATTTGTAGATTATTTTAAATAATGATGTTAAAATTAAACTCGCTTGCAAATTATTTTAATAATAAATTTTAAGTATAATTTCGCTTAAAATTACACTCTAAAGTAAATTATTATTTAAAATTAAAAAAAAAAAAGTTTATTGCCTAGATTAAGAAAAAAATTAATTTTAGTGGAATATATATTTAAATTTAATCAAGTAAATTATAAATGTTTTCTATATTTATTTTAAAGAACTCCATTCAATTAGAAATAATTACAGTGCAAATTGATCCAAAAATATTGGCATTAAATTAGCTATTAACTGAGCTAAGCTTTTTAATTGATGCAATTATCAAAGCTTTAAATCATTAAATTTTTGATATTCTTACGCCTAGTATAATTTAATGAAGTAAATTATAACGTTTTCTATATTTATTTTAAAGAACCCCATTCAATTAAAAATAATTACAGTGTAAATTGATTCAAAAATATTGATATTAAATTAGCTGGTTTCTGAACATTTTAAGCTTTGTAATTTGGGCAATTATTAAAGATTTAATTCATTAAATTTTTGATACCCTGACACCTAATAAATATAATTGCTTTTATTATTAATTTTACACGTATATTTCAGGGTACGTATTTGTTTCAGTTGATATTTAAATTTTTGCCTTTATGAATATCGTATTTAGTGTTATCATCAATTTAAAATATTTAATTAATCTGCCACGGTCGGTTAGTTGAAATAATTTTTAATTGTGGATTATAGTATTACGATATTTAAATTTATCTAATACAAATTACTTTTCTCTCTATCACAATGGCCATTTTACTTTATCATTCTGTTAATATAGCCCTTTGTTAATGTCTAAAATTTAATTTTAAAAATACTGTATTAAACATATATAATAATGAAACACTTGATCTAAATTGCTTTACTACTTATTGGTAACGATAGCACCAATCGTAGCAAATAATCTTCGCCAATTTGATCTAGGCTTGAATAATTATTATGTTAATCATCGAGGTTGAGACCATGTTTCAGTATGTTATTTTTTTATTTTTGCCATAGGCTTAGTAACAACTATTTGCAAATCGCTTATCTGTTTGATTCGCAACCAATTAAATGCAACGACATCCACCGATTTAGCGAATAAGTTTTGGTTTGAATGTTGACTCGAT